GTGTGTGTGTGTGTGTGTGTGTGTGTGTGTGTGTGTGTGTGTGTGTGCAGACAGCTTGCAGAGGAAGTTGGACATATGTTGGATCACACGGGACATTGAGGACGGATGGCTGGTCGAGTTTGGAGGTTGGAACGATGACGTCATCGACACAAACACACAGCAGTCAAATCCCTCGAATGTTAAATATCGAGGGAAGCACCGAGGGAGCGCTTGATTTCCACACAGCGTCACCCGTGAAGGACACCTCAGAGGACAGACTGGCATGTGACGGTGCCCCTCACTGGTGGAGCTACATTTGTGTCTCAATTCTCAGAGCGCGATGGGACATTTAGGTTTATGCAACAACATCATCAAATATATTTTGTGGAGAAATTATTCTCAAAGAATAAGTTAATTTGTGCAAACAAAATTAGATTTTGTACTCAATAAATATATTAACAACCTAAGCACACAATGATAACCTCTTTCACTCCGTTGTACACATTTACTCCCTCAACCAAAGCACATACTAGTTTTCAACAACCTTCATCAAATTCTGTTCTGGAAGTTAATGTGTATTTTATTAGCTTGTAACCTCGTTATCTCTGTAGCTAGCTAGCTAACTAGCCAGATAAGATATAGCAGAATTAAGCTAGTTAGCTAACATGACAAAGAGAAAGCCTTAAGTTTCATTAAAGTAGTTAAAAATAACGGAATTGAGTGTAATAGTTATATAACTAGCTGACTTACTGAATACTTTCAGCCACACTAAGGTGCCAAGTAAGAATTATTTTCACTATCAATTTACTTGCGATTACTTTAGCGATGAATCAGTCTATAAAATCAGAAAATATAAATAAAATTTCCAAAAACCCAACATGACATATTAACAATATGTATGCAAACATTGCTTGTTTTTAGTTAGCATCATAGAAGACCAAGAAAGACGACAAAATATTCATATTAGAGAAACTGACTAGTTGAGTTTTGGCACATTTTTGGCATATTAGCTTGCCTTGAAACAATGACTACTGACAATTAACTGGTAATGATACATTTTTTAATCAACTGACAAATCAGTTCACCTCTAACTCACCTTATTATTAAATTAAATATATCACATAATAATAATATTTTAGACTCAGATTCAGAGGCAGTTTATTTTGTAACTGTAACTACATCAATGATTTTAATTATTTGGCTAATTAGCTGGCAATTAAAACAAGTTGGTTTAAGAGCAACTGACTAAAGGACACAGAGTTACTTTTGTGTGCCAACGTGAATAATATTAAACTCATGCACTTATTGAGCAAAACATGTATTTTAGTTCTCTCAAATTAAATTATTCTCGGGTAATTTCTCCACAAAATAAAATGAATGTGGTTTTAAAAACGAGTGTCTTTTGCTCAAAACATCCCGACACGGTCTGAGAACGTAAAGCACAAATATGAAACCCATCATCACCCTTATGACAGTATGAACGCTGTGATTGGCTGTCAAAGACTTGAAGGTTGAGAGTTGCACCCTTTTACAGGTAAAGCAAGGCGAGAGAACGTCCCCCTTTAGAGAGAGAGAGAGAGACAGAGAGAGAGAGAGAGAGGAAGAGAGAGGGAGAGAGGAAGAGAGAGAGAGGAAGAGAGAGGGAGAGAGGAAGAGAGAGAGAGAGAGAGAGAGAGAGAGAGAGAGAGAGAGAGAGAGAAAAAGAGAGATGGACTGGACACTCCCCTCCTGCCGCTGAGTGGAGGGTGAGGAGAGGGTGAGTAACAGGGAGGATGGAGAGACAGAGAAGGACAGATGGATGAATGGAGGGGTTACCTTTGTTGCGATTTTCGGGGGGTCCTTGTTTTTTACCTGTTCGGACAGAGAGAGAGGGCGGAATGCTGATAAGATGGCTCAAAAGAAAAATAAGATCAAATCAAACTGAGGGAGAACACAAAGTTCAAACTGATAGAAACCCACAGGTGTGTGTGTGTGTGTGTGTGTGTGTGTGTGTGTTTTGTGGGCAGGAATGGACCAATCAGAGGAGAGAGACACGCCACGTCCTGCTGCGGAGAACCAACAATGTTTGACGGCAGAGCTAATCAGTTCATCAATATATCAGTGATCAACATACATAAAAGTTTGATTCAGGAATTTGATGGAATGTCAAACAATAACGTATGAAACAATTACACATTATTATCTTGAATTGAATTGATCAATAATCCAATTCAACATGTTCATATATGTCTAAATCAGGTTTGTTGTGGTCGTCTCAGCACAAAACGATTTAGCCGTTTTCAGTTTTTTGAAAATAATCTGTACATTCTCTACAGCCATTGGTTGGACGTTTGAGCAGATGGTCAGTCTGAAGGGTTAACATTCGTGGTGTTTGTGTCACTCTGGTGGCTAAAGGTAAAAGTAATAGTTCACTCAAAAATAATATTAATTGTATATGGTACTCACCTCCCAAGGCTCTCTATGGCCCCAAAAAGTTATCTTTCAAATAGTGTTAAAGAGGGCGGAGCACGTGAAAAATGATGTATTGGGAGGTGAGTACTATTCCTTTAAGGTGCTGGTTCAGGTCTGGCAGGGGCAGCAGTCTCTCTCTCATTTAACTTCCTGTCGTCTCTGTACCGTCGACCTTTGTCAATGTAACGATTGGTCAACAATTAGTCCTCCGACTTACACACTTATTGTGGAAAGCTTTCGACAAAGCTGCAAGTGTTCTCCAACAATGTGTGGACCGGTTCAGGTTGTGTTTATTTGTTGAAGTGACTTTGATGGATTCTGTTTACTTCCTTGTCTGCATATATCTGAACTGGGATCGTTATCACTGTCAGCTGTCATGTATTGATCAGATAAAATGACAGGTGGAGGTCGGGGGGATTTTCCTCCGCAGGGGCATTAACTTCCTGTTGCCCTAATATGGAGCTATCTGCTTTTATTGTGAAAGGAGGTTTGGCAAGGTCAAAGCCAATACACACACACACACACACACACACAAACAGCTCTTTGTTATTCAGCTCGTGGTTTGTGATTGATGACAAAGACTAAACTGCTGCAAGTGTGTTTGTGTCTGCGTGTTTGCACACACACACACACACACACACACACACACACACACACACACACACACACACACACACACACACACACACACACACCTTACATGAATGTGTGTGTGGGTGTTTCAATGTGTATTCCTGTGTGTTAAGTGGGTTGATGCAGCCATGTGTGACAGTAAAGTGTGCCGTCTGTCTGCTGTTATCAGAGACTCGAGAGACACACAACAGCACAACAGTGTGCGTTCTTGCACTTCTGTACTTCTGGACCAATTAAAGTCTCAGACTTGGCGGGGAAAATACTAAAAGTGAGGACATTTTTTGGAAAATGAGGCCAATTTTGGAAAGCTTAAAGGGTTGAGGTTTGGTTTTAGGATCACGGTTAGAATTAGAGGGGCTTGGGAATGTATTATGTCAATGAAGGCCCACACATGTGTGAAGTGCTGATATAAAGGATCTCTTTTTCTGCTCATTTCAGTTTAATTGGAGTGGAATCTAAAAGCTTGTCTTGTGGTCCTCTTCATTAGGAACTCATTACTGGTTTGGTTTTTTTTAAATGACTTGACTGGAGGCCGAAATGTGAACCCGAGCGTCTCTCTCCGCTGAGCTGGTTCATTCAGCCGGTTGACAATGAATGCCTGACAAACTCAAACTTTAGCCAGTAAAACAAATGATCAGACAAAAACAAACTAAAGAAAGAGACATGAGTAAAAGGGGGTTAGCATGATCACAAGCAAATCAAAAGCAATAGAGACCGACTGCAGAAGCCTGTTGGTTTGCATCAAACTGCTCTGTGATAGTACGAGCATCGTCTGGACTTTTTGAAGGGTTCCACTTCAAAAATCCACTGTATGTAAACAGGGGAAGGGACGTTTTGCAGTTTTAACCAACATTACATCACTGTCAGATCAATACCTCAGTATAGTGGCCATTAACTACCGTGAATAAATGAGACCAGGACGGAGTGTTTGCTCAGGTGACCAACCAAACAGATTTGTAGTATTTTGGAGGATTATTTTGTCTTTTTTAAGATCATTTCAAGCGTCGACTGACTGAAATGTTCACAATGATGCATTTATTTGCAACTGTACAATAAAAATCTAAATTGATTACAAGTAAATCTACCCATCGAGCAATTATTCAGTTTCCAATAATAACAATGGAAGATTAACCATTAAAAATATTAGTACATTAAAACAATAAGTCCTTGATTTCAGACAAAAGCAGCCTCACTTCTTTTCCATTGACTGAAACAACAGAATCACTGTCAGATTCCATCAGCTCCAGCTAGCTCGCTAGCTAACGTTAGCTCCCTTGAAAACTCTCATTTAAACAATAAATTAATTCAATGAGAATTTAATGGTCACATAGATATTGAGGCTAAAGCTACAGGTCCTGGTGGGGAACAGCTATTTATCCCTGGTGTTATCATAGCACAGTTTAACAAGACAAAACATATGAGCAGATGTTTCTCTCAGGCACAGCCTTGATCACAACTGTAGGTGGTAAGCTTGTTAGCCAGTCATGCTAACCGTCAGCTTACGTTAATTGCCAATGACGCCACACTACAAACTCTTCGGATGCAGAGTGTATCACGTACTACAAACCCCATTCACACCACTTCAACATGTGGAGAAATCCAAACTCTGACCGGCCTGCTGTGCCTTGTTATGGTTGCTGAGCTATGATTGGACAATCACTGTTTAGGGGAGGGGTTTAGTGAACGGTCAATTAAAAAGGTACTGTCGTACACATCCCTTTCGGTACTTCAATCTTATGTCAGTTGTGTTTAGTTGTTGTTCATCAGATATATGACCACTACCGGTGAACTCATCCGTGGTCTCATTTATTCACTTTAGTGATCAATAAGTTATGAATCTATAGTTAGACCCTTCAAACGGCTCTGCTGTTATCAGCTCGGACTGGATGTACTCTACCTGTTGACAGAGTCGTTCTAGTGCGACAGGAGAAACTTCAAATCAACACCAGCTGATAAAAAAACGTGCAAATATTTCCAATCTGCACTGTTCAAACAGGAGAGTAGAAATATTCAGGAGCGGACACGATGAGAGTTGTCTTTCTTTTCTCCACACACTTCACACACTTAGTGGACTCGTATGACCGTCAACACTTCAACGACGAGCGGGATCGGCTTTGTCTCGTGTCTTACTTTTCTTGACCTTCTTCACTTCGTCGTGGTCGCCGGCACCCAGCAGAGTGAAGATGATGCCGGTTTGAGAGTTGAGGCCGACGGCTGACACCACCATCCGGCCTGATCCCTCCATCACATGGGTCCCTGAGGAGAGATTCAAGAGACGGGAGTCACAACTGGAGCTCGTTTTTTAGGTTTTTTTTACTGTCACTGAAGTTTAGGTGTGTAATCTTTTATCCAGCTGCATATTTAAATACTTAAAAAAAGACCCCTGTCAACCTTTTTGTTGGACTTTAGCAATGCAATTTGCTGATATTATCAATTTGGAGTAGAGTACTCAGTACTCTGAGTTGCAATAACTTGTATAAAATGTGCTACACAAATTACACTTATCCTCACAGCTGGTCCGCTCTAATATGGATATACAGCATATTGATTAGTTATGAGATCTGATTCCACATCCTACTTCAGAGGCAAGAATCAAACAGTCAGTGAAAGTGTTTTTAAGGGTCGTGAATATCAGCAGAATCCACAGAGAATCCTCAGTGATGGTCCGTGTCATGAGACTGAGCAGGCACTCACCGGACAGCAGCATGGGGTCCTTCTCCAGAGACTTTCGGACTTGATCGGACTCTCCGGTGAGAGAGCTCTCGTCAATCTTCAGGTCGTTGCCTTGGATCAGGATCCCGTCAGCAGGCAGCAAGTCTCCTGCAGGCACAGAGTTCAAGAGGGTGCATTTCATTCATTTATCCAAACAGCTGCAGTGTAAACACATTCTGGCTCTTTGCTGCAGTCCTCTCATACTCTGATGAAGGAAATCAATGTAGCAACAATCAGAATTAACATTAAACAGGTGGAAAATGACCCTCCGGTTATTGACATCACAGGTTTGATGTTTCCGTCTGGCGTCTGTGGTCTCGTACCGTATTTGATCTGAGCGATGTCTCCCACCACGAGCTCGGCCACGGGGATCTGGATGACCTGGCCTTTGCGAATGACGGAGAACCGTTGCTCTTGCTCGATGCGACTCTGCAGCCCGCGGAACTGCTTCTCCTTGGACCAGTCGTTGAAGGCCGTCACCAGGACGACGATGATGACCGAGAACAGGATGGCGGCGCCCTCGATCCAACCGGCCTGGGACTCGCCCTCGTCCTCCACGCCACCTGCAACCTCGCCGCATGCTGCGAGAGGACGAGGGCGAGTTGAATATTTGGCTTTCATCAGATAAATATGTGCTCAGTCCAAACAGACTGAGCAGCTTTGTCAAGCTAAAGCTGTGCAACTTACAACTTCCAATGGTTTTAGAGAATAATAGTTTCAGAAAACAAACACACGGCACAAACCCTTTAATGTAATATCACACTTTTCTACTTTCCTTTTCTTGTATATTCAAGTTTATGCTAATTATTACAATTTGTAGACATACCAATATTTATCATTTTTTGTTGGTTCTTAAACATGGCAAATCATATTACCGATAGGTGAAGAGGAAAAATAAATGAATATAAATAAATAAATAATGAATATATATATATATATATATATATATATGCTGTACATAAATTAAGAAAGGATAGAGTGAATAAAATCAAATTAATATAAAAAACTAAATATAAAAACTAATAATGTGAAGAAATGCTTAAAAATGTAATGAAAGTGAATGCAAATCAATATATAAAAATGTCCTATACATAAAAGATTGGATTGTTAAAATAAAGTCAAATATAAAATAATAACAACAATAGATTACAAGAAATTATATTTCCTCAACATGAAGGTCCAATTAGTTTTAAATATTAGAATATAAACATCCCCCAGGATACAAATTGACCCACACAAAAATACAACAATAGTATCTCTGGCTTCAGTTCAGACGGTGACTGTACCGACCTTCATTGTTGCCCCCTGGTGGATGGTAGAAGGACAGGCCCAGCGAGATGATGGCAGCGATTTCCAGAATAATGAGCGTGACGTCCTGCAGAGCCTCCCACACCAGCTGCAGGAAAGTCTTGGCCTTCTTGGGGGGGATGAAGTTCTGGCCGTACGCCGTGTGACGTTTCTCCAAATCGACGGGGTTACCAGACAGACCTGCAGACACGACCGCGAGACATTAATCATCACATCGATACGGAAAACTAACGAGAGCGTGTCTTTGCTTTATAAACAACAAAAGGTAGAAATGCATTTATAACAAAAAGTCACACGTAATGTTCAAAGGAACATCCAAGTCCCTCTGAGTAAAATAAATAATTCTGCACAGCTGACGGTGTTGAAGTAAATATAGAACACAAGACAAAACACGACACAAGGATTCGATTTCTGGCTCAAAACTGAATCCTGAAAGTAAAATACTTTATTGTGTGTGTGTGTGTGTGTGTGTGTGTGTGTGTGTGTGTGTGTGTGTGTGTGTGCGTGCGTGGTTAGCTCTCTGCAATCTGTAGCTGTGCACCTACACGCAGTGAAGGCAGAATGTGCTCTATAGTTATGAAAAGTTTCACAGAGTTCCATAAACAGTAGTTCTGCAACATGACCTACTTTTGTTGCCATGAAAGACTGCAGTATTCCATATGCAGTATTTATTTGGGCGAATCCCCAACACACATTTGTTCCACCCAAAGAAATGATGCATTTTCTTATTCACCGTTTCCTCCTTTCTGTCTGGAGATCCAGTTAAAAAAGAAACATGCACCAAAAGGTCAGGCAAATGGTGCGTTCAGGTGCAGCCACACGGATGGTAAAAATGAGCATCGCTAATTCCTGTCTGTTGTATCCAGCAGTGGTTCCCAGTTTATGATCAGTTCAACCAGTGAAAAGGTCATTTGATTGGTTGATCATTTTTGAAGGCGTGAAAAGTTAAAATAACTTAAATTCACAAGAAAAAAAACCATAACTCTAGCTTTATGTTTTCTGTGTGGTTAATTATCCTGTTCATTATCCTGCGACCCGTCAGGGTTCTCTTAAAGATCGTTTAACGCACGTTTGTAAATCAATAGTAGAAAAAAACAAATGAATGCAATAAAATTAATGAATAACATAAAAAATAAATGAATAGATAAAATAAAATCAACAATCAAACAACAATAAAAACAATAAAAGTGGAATAAGTAGGTTTAAATCAATTAAATGGAGTTCAGTATTCTTTCCTATAAACCTCTTTAAATCACATGAAGTCACAAGATTTCTAAAACCAATTAATGAGAGAAATCTGTCTGAGGTTTCTCCTCCCGTCCCTCTGCAGACACATCTTTTACAATCTGCTGCTCTCTGAAGACCAAACAATATCTGAGTTATTGATTCCAGAGCTGTGACTGTCATTTTCCAGCAGTGACTCATGTCCGACTGGACTGGTTCATTCTCCTTATAAAGACAATGACAACACAAAGATCTCTCCATCCACCCGGATGCTCCCGAAGGCAGCAGAGCCGGAGCTCGATTGGTTTTATTTATTTATTTATTTTATTAAAACTGGGTGAAAATCCAACCTTAAAACACCATTTGCTGTTTATCATCAATTAATAAATAACACAACAGGTCCGTGTTCAGGGTTTTCTCGTCACCACAGGACCTCGTTAACGTTAAATTCAGCACACAGTGTGTATTTGCAGATACTTCTGGGAGCGCAGGGACGTGTCTGGATGAGAACTAGTTTCACAGATTCTTTTTTTATTTTTTAATGAATCTGGGTGTTTTGCAGTAAAACCTGAAAATCTGTAACTTCCTCTGCACGGCTGTGTGGGCAGCAACATGGCTGCTGTGGATTCTTAGCGGAATTGGGAGATGTGCAGTGGAACGTGATCTGAATGTCAACAGACTGCACCGCCAGCCATTTCTCCTGAAGGAGAAAGTCAGCATGGACAAGTTTCCGCCTCCATGTGTTTTAATAACGGCCTCGTATTCCTTCCTTCTCCAATGATTCTCTCCTCCTCTTCCTCAATAATCTGACTCCTTTTTCTTTGGACGCAGTAATCAGGTAAATATACTAGATGATGGCTTCTGCCATTTTCAGTGTTAAGCAGCCACGACATAGAGGTACTAGTTTCCTCATCACCTACAGTAGGTCCTGTAATATTAACTAGATGGCTTCAATAACAGAATCATTGAAGTTAAAGATAAAGACGACATGGATGAGATAAAATGAGAGTAGCAGAAGTGATGTGAAAGGACATGAGGGGAAGTGAGATGAGTTAACGGGGGGTTAAGTGATCTTATGCAAGGTGTTGATGAGATGAAATGAGAACGAGGTGATGTGAAAAGAGAGGAAGCAAGATGAGAAGAGAAGAGCTTAAATGAGATGGCTCGAGGTGAGGAGATGATGAGATGAGATTTAATGATGCCAGGTGAAAGGAGATAGCGAGAGAGAGAGAGATGTGAGATGAGGTGAAATGAGGAGCAGTGAGAGGAGTTGAAGCGACGGTAGGATGTGAGATGAGGCGAGATAAAAGGAAGTGAGTTGAGGATAATTAAATGAGGAGGCAATCTTTGGTGACATCATGTAATTTGATATGAGAGATGTAAATTAAACTCTTCAGTATTTACTCAGCACTCCATCACAGACGAGTGTACCTGAACAAACTTATGTGTAAAAGCAGCAGCGCGGCTTCCCGACATGTCTGACTGAGTATCTCCGCGGTTTAGAGCAGAAGCAGAAACATCAGAAGCTGGAGCAACAAACAGATTTTAAAAATACACACCCGTTGTCAAAGTCATCAGCGGCTATCTTTCATCACGCTGTGGTTTAGTTCAAAGTTGGGTTTGATCATTTTGAAGCCTGTGATTGATGCTGAAAGCTGCTGTCAAACTAAAATAAAGAAGCACAGAGCAACTTTACAGGCGGTTTGATCAATACAAGTCTGGCTTTTTTTCCAATTCTGGTTTATTGCTGCGATTGTGGCGGCGGGTTTCATCTGGCGGCAGCTCGTTGTGTTTGTGAACGTCCCCGTGGAGATGCAGATTAAAGCTCTGCCATGATGTTCCAGCAGCAGCGGAGCAGTCAGCTGCACACTCGCCTGTCACAGATGTTTATGAAACTCAGCTTCCAGCAGAAATGAACTTCATTGGTCCAAAACGAGGTCTCTTCCAATTCACGGCTTTATCAGCCAACACGCAGCTTCATCTTTTTACCCACACGACGCTCACTTCCATTCATTGTCCCTCTGACTGATGACACTACGGCAGCAGGGATTAATGTCCACTCTCATTGTTCTGAGTGTTTGATGTCCACTACAAAAGACAGAGGACAGATTTCTCCCCCTCTCTCCTCCATGTTGTCAGGACCGCTTCTAGTTAGCTTCATCATCTCTGCAGTTCATCCATCAGTTCAGTCTTTCTATCATCCTCCAGTGTTTTATTCTGTCACAGCGGTCCCACAGTCGCTGAAGTAAGGCCGATGACTTCAGCTTCAGCTCTGACTGAATCTGATCAATTTCAAGAGCCAAAACCGAGAGCATCACCCGTTAAGATGTGCTCAGTTAGAACACAGAGCAAAGGTCGGAAGCAGTGCAATGGACCCGTGCCCGGAGTCACGCGTGTGAAGAGAAGACGCAACCTTTCATGTTGAAAATGTTTCAACTTTGGCCCCAAAAAAAGGCTTTATGAGTCAAATTCATAGACAGAAAGAAGTGGGGTTTCTGGTGAGTTCTGGGATCGGTCAAAGTCACAAAAAATGAAATATAAATACAATCTGAAACTACAAATATAGAAATTGTACATACAATTTGGATTTATGAGGTTCAAAATCATATTCAATCAAATTAAATCTGCACAGAAGCCGTCCTCTCAGCTGGTCCAACCCGTTACTGTGTGAACACACTGTACACCAACACATTTACACACACACACACACACACACACACACACACACACACACACACACA